AGGATCACCTGAGCCCAGGAGGTTGAGGCTGCAGTTAGCCGTGATCACACCACTGCACTCCAGCTTGGGTGACAGGGCCAGACCCTGTCCCCATAATAATAATAAAGGCTTTGGCTCTAAGAGAGTCTGTGGGAGGGGAGTCAGGAAAACTGGTCAAGAACAACTCGGCCAGGCACAGTGGCTCAGGCCTGTAATCCTAGCATTTTGGGAGGCCGAGGCAGACAGATCACTTGAGGTCAGAAGTTCGAGACCAGCCTGGCCAACATGGCAAAACCCCGTCTCTACTAAAAATACAAAAAAGCCGGGCTTGGTGGTGCGCCCCTGTAATCCCAGCTATTTGGGAGGCTGAGGCAGGAGATTTGCTTGAACCCGGGAGGCGGAGGTTGCAGTGAACTGAGATCCCGACACTGCACTCCAGTCTGGGTGACACAGCAAAACTCTGTTTCCAGAAAAAGAAAAAAGAACGAACGAACACAACTCGTGTTATTTCTTGTGTTTGGGACCATGTGTCTCCCTTTCTTGCCCCGCTAACTGTCAAGTTTTTCTAAGCTAAGACACCACCTTCTCAGAGGCCTCAAAGTCTAGGGGTGGAGTGGGGCAGTGCGCATGTCCTCTGTGTCTTCCTTGCAGCCCTGCACTTCCCTCTTCCTTATTGTCATGGCCTCTTTCCCTGACTAAGCTCAGCTCCTCAGCCCTCCTCTTCCTTCTTCCTCCAGCCTCACCTCCTGACACCCCCTTTCCCATCCTGGGACATGCAGGTGATTAAAACACGTCTGCTGGATAGAGATTGCATGAGCTGGTGGCGTGAGTCCTGGTGAGAGGAGATAAGGGCTTGAAGATTGCAGTGTGTGAAGGTGCAGCCGGAATGGCGTGAGCACTTGTCTTACTCATAAGCATCACTGTCTGCAGAATGGATTGCACCACACATTGGCCCACGTAGGCCCAAATTCCACCGCCGTGGATGAATGAAATCATTTCTAGCTCCATTTCATGAGGCTGCCTAATTCTTTCACTAAGACTTATTTAGGACTTCCTAGTTTATTAACTCAATTAATCCAAACAACAGCCCCATGAAACAGGTATTATCCCCATTTTATAGATGAGGAAACTGACATAGAAGTTAAGTAGTCTGTTGACAAAAAAGGTCAAACTGTAAAATATTTGAAGAGATTTTATTCAGGGCCAAATATGAGTGACGAAAGCCTGAGTCACAGCCTCAAGAGGTCCTGAGAACATGTGCCCAAGGTGGTTGGATTGCAGCTCGATTTTTATAAATTTTAAGGGTGTCAGAGGCGTTTGAACCAGAACAACTCCATCTTGAATGGGGGCTGGATAAAATAAGGCTAAGACCTACTGGGCTACATTCGCAGGAGGTTAGGCATTCTAAGTCACAGGATGAGACAGGAGGTTGGCACAGGTACAGGTCACAAAGACCTTGCTAATAAAAGGATGCCATAAAGAAGCCAGCCAAAACCAAGATAGTGATGAAAGTGTTCTCTGCTCATCCTCACTGCTCATTATGCACTAATTATAATACATCTGTGCTAAAAGACACTCTCACCAGTGCCATGACATTTGTAAACTGTCATGGCAAAGACAGCAAGTTATCCTATGTGATCTAAAAATGGAAGGACCCCTCAGTTCCAGGAATTGCCCAGACCTTTCCTGGAAAACTCATGAATAATCAACCCCTTGTTTAGCATACGATCAGGAAATGACCATGAAAGTGACCAGTCAGCAACCCTTGGGGCTGCTCTGCCTACGTAGTAGCCATTCTTTTATTTCCTTACTTCTCTAATACACTTGCTTTCACTTTACTCTGTGGATTCGCCTTGAATTCTTTCTTGTTTGTGATCCAATAACCCTCTCTTGGGATCTGGATCGGGACTCCTTTTCGGTAACAGGGGGACAGAAGTTACAGGCAGATACCAATCGATATATGTACATTAGTTCAGTCTGGAAGGGCAGGACAACTGGAAGCAGGGAAGAGTAGGTAGGGGTTTCTGGATCATAGGTAGATTCAAAGGTTTTCTGATTGGCAATTGGTTGAAATAGTTATTGTCTAACGAACTGGAATGAGTAGAAAGGAGTGTCTGGGATAAGAAAAGGTGTTGTGTAGACCAACGTTCTTATGTAGATGAAGCCTCCCGGTAGCAGTAGCAGGCTTCAGAGAAATAGATGGTAAGTATTTCTTATCAGACTTAAAAAGATGCCAGACTCTTGGTTAATCTCTCCTTGGATCAGGAAAAGACCTGGAAAGGGAAATCTACAGAATGTAGATTTTCCCCACAAGAGACGGCTTTACAGGACCATTTCAAAATATGTCAAAGAAGTCCGGGCACGGTGGCTCACACCTGTAATCCCAGCACTTTGGGATCACGAGGTCGGGAGTTCAAGACCAGCCTGGACAACATGGTGAAACCCTGTCTATACTAAAATACAAAAATTAACTGGGTGTGGTGGTGGGCGCCTGTAATCTCAGCTACTCAGGAGGCTGAGGTAGGAGAATCGCTTGAACCCGGGAGGCAGAGGTTGCAGTGAGCTGAGATTGCACCATTGCAATCCAGCCTGTACGACAGAGCAAGACTCCGTCTCTCTGTCTATATATGTCAAAGAAATATATTTTGGGGTAAAATGTTTCTCTTTCTTTCAGGGCCCGCTGTCATGTGATGCTGTACTACATACAGTCCACTGGAATTTGGCATCTTATTAGTATAAAGAGCCTGTTTTGTCAGTCTTATG